AGCGAGATGTTGACAAGGGCACAGCGATAAGAGTTGCATCAATGCGCAAATCAGCGGGGAAGGAAGGGTCCCATTTCTCGGGTTCTGGGCCGTTTCTCATGGTTCTTCCTTCTTTCGTGTACCAATCACCATCCGAGTTATTAACCCATAACGGACGGCCAGTGTATTTTGCGTGCGCCACCATGTGGCGCACGCCGCCACCCAGGGTAGGGTTTATGTAGGCTTATGTGAACAGCAGGGGTAAGACGGGGCTAAAGTAGGTGTCGGAGTCTCATCATCCGAAAAAAGAGATTTCCGTTGACGACAAGTTCGTAGCCCGCCTTTCCGCTCTAAAACTAGGGTGCAAAGAATGAATGGAAGCTGTAGGTGACATTATCGAAAAATGCGAAACAACAACCCCGAGCAAGGATGTGGCTATATTTAGGGGAAGGGGTCTCGGGACGTGCGAACCATGGGTAAGCCACCCATCAAATAATAAACTTATGTAAATTAAAACAAAATTTATTGTAGGTTTGTCAAAAATCCAGCCGTCCAGGTCCTGGGAAGATATGTTATTCCACATTGCTGAGAGTATATATGGGTATATTAAGATTGCTAGAAACATTCCAAAAACAAAAGAAATAGTCGTGCGCCACCTTGTGGCGCACGCCGTCCGTTATGGGTTAATGAAATTTTTCAAAAATGGGGTTTAATGCCCTTCAGCGTGGATTCGTCCTTAAAAAGGCGGTAGACGCGATGGCTGAGAAACGGAACGGTTTTGATGACATCATTGGGTATAGCTGCTGTAGGAGCTGTGAGAAGTGAACGCGAGCATACCCAACAGTGCCCTTCGATCAATGGTCGCCATTATACGTCATCGAAACTCCGAACTTTTAACATATACGAAGTTGAGTATTCAAATTGAAAGTGATACTTCTTATAGGGTTTGTGCCATCACACAAGATGCTGAAGGTGCTATACTTCCGCAACCAAAAACGATTGAAGCACTATTCCGCGCATCGCTCGTGAAATTACCTCATGATGGCAGCGCTCCGAGGTTTGTCAGGTGTTTATAGATCTTAAAAGCAACAGTCCCAGCAGGGTGGGCGTGGTCGGAAACGACTGCAATCCCCTCGGCCGATTCCGACCACGCCCACTTCAGCTCCCTGCCTAGCGGCTTTCCAAGGTGAGTTTTTGTTCAGTCACACTTCTTACGTTCTTGACTAGGGGCTGAACAGCTCCGAAGTGGGAATCGGCCGAGGGGATTGCAGCCGTTTCCGACCACGCCCACCCTGCTGGGACTGTTGCTTTAATCAAAGCAGCCATGATGAATTTTGTTTATTCCAATCTCTGAAATTTGGAAATCCACTAAAATTGTAAAATTTAACCAAGTAGTAATGATGAAGAAAAGTGCATACGTTGAATAAATCCCTTCTTCCCCACCTATGTAGGAATCTCTGCTTCATTTACCCTCTTTGAAAGAGCAGTTCTAACAGGCAGGCAGCAGGACGTATGATCCTCACGCAACGAGAAGGAACACCAGCAACCAAGAACTCGGACCAGAATGGAGCAACCGTCGTGATGGAAAACCATGTCTAGCTTGCCAGGTTCGTAAAGAATGTCAGAGACCTAATACCTAATAACTAATACCTAATAGTGGATTCTTTAGGCTGTTTCAAGTAACGTTACGCGTGTACTGTTGGAACGAATGGGTGAACGAGACGCTAAAACGACCCCGTTCAAATACGACAATCGTGTTCTCTGTGCTACATTCCCAGAAATGGTAAAATCATTCCGGCAGTTTTGTTTCCTACTTGTGCTACCGGGAGTGGTGGATGAAATACCGTTTTTTCCGCTAACCTTTCAGCATGAGTCCTTATCGATGCCTAGTATGGTTCTCATCCAAAAGACTCCTGCTGACCACAGCGGTTATCTCGACTACTTGCACTTCCCCTCTGCTTCCTGCGTCAGTGGTTGGAGCACAGACGCGAGAAACGGCGCCCGCGGCGGCTCCACTCCCAAGGAGAAGGTGAGAGCTCTGACTTGTAAGACTAAGCCATGGGATGGGGGGGATTTCTGGGTGGAATGAGCCAATTATATATTGTGGTAGAAGCTTGAATGTGTGAAATCGTGGTAGTCATGAGCCGCTGGTTGGACAGAGGCTGGCGGCAGCGCAGAACAAATCGAGGAAGACGCACTCAAAGGACCGAGTACTAGTTTTGACCGGGCGACACATTGCATGTTTTCGGCTCTGTCGAAGCCACTAGGAAAAATACTGGAAATCAAAAAGGAACATCAGCAATCTATGATGAAAGAAATGCTTTCCGAATTTGTGCTCATCTCGTCAAATGGATCTTTATCACTGAACATTTGATCTAGAAAATTGCGCTCCTAGAGAGTGACGAAAAGTGGTCTACTTTTTTTCTCTTATATAGTAATCAAAAAAGTAGAGGTGCTGTAAAGCGCAGTGATAGGGCACTCACATCCGAAAATGGTTGGGATAATATAAGGATTTGAAGATTTGAGCTGTAAGAACTTTTCTCTTTGGAAAATCTGGACCATTCCCTTAGTAGATGGGGGCTGCGCGAGATCAGGTAGACATTGAAAAACTTCGAAAACTCGAACATTTCAGATGTTTTCGCTTGAAAAATAAAATTTCCAAACCTTATCAAAACCAGCCAAAATGAAGGTCTCCTACTCAGTTTACTGGTCAGATGCCCTTGAGCCGAGGAAGCCTTGGTGGTCAACCCCCTCCGCAGCAAAAAAATTGGAGGAATATACAGACTCGTAAACTGGGCCCTAGAAAGTTTTCCTTGAGCTCAAAAGATTTGACTACTCCAAAGTGTTTGAGAATCTGGGAAATAAGCATTAGAAATTGATTCAGGGAGTGGCTCTGAACTCGATGGTGGATCGACGTCAGTTGGCTACGAGATATGCCATTCAAGTCGAAGTTGCTATCAACATCGATAACAAGCTGATCGTGAACCATGTATGTTGCCAGAGAAACTTCTTAAAACGAATTTTTGACGGACACGACGACGGGGGGGGGGGGACACACCCAACTTCTGGACTGTAAGGGAACCATGTCGGTATACACCACCAATTGAAAAATAAACTCACGCGAAAGTTGATAGTTGGACACGAAGTCTCAGCCCCCCTGAAAAAGCTGAGCAAGCGCAGGTACACAGGCTTACTTCGCTGCGAAAATGTCAGGAAAAGAGACGCTAGGTCTCGAGCGCGGTCCAAAATAATGCACGCTCATCTTTTCCCACCCCCGATCGTAGTAGACAGGCGGATATGTTGATGTCGCGCCCGTTTGCGGCTTGAAGTGCGAGATAAAAAGCTCGCTGACTCGCAATCCACACCTTCGTAAGCAAGCCACACCTTCCGCTCTCGGCTGCCAACGGTGACGCTGCGAAGAAACCCCAGCTGCAGTTGCGCAGCGTTCGACATTAAAGCGTTCAATGTACTGTTTTGAGGAAGTGCAAAGCTGGGCTCGTGAAACTCGTCCGACACGCCCCGCAAGGTGTAATGCGGCCGACATAGAGGAGGCCCTTATTAGGGACGTAGTCGAGGATTTCTTTTGCTTTCTTTTTATTTTCAAGACCGCTCCCCACCCAGAGCTTCATAACAGAATGCTCTTACACAAAATTTTATCCGCGACGCTTCAAGAGTTACGCGTACCACCGCAAGTTCGGATTTCCACCCCAGAAATTTGCATTATACATAGACCACTCGCTCTGCTCTATCCATGGGAGGCCTCTGTAAGCTGTCATTCCTTTTCCTCTACTCAAGAGCCCAGTATCTTCACCTCTCTCTTGGACTCCCTCATAAATTGAAGATAGGAAGCTTATTTTCGGTGTTTCCGGTGACTTTTTCCATTTCTTCACTACGACTCCATTTCATACCTCTACTTCCACTTTCAAGCGGAGTAACCCTTTCAACTTGTCATTAGTCTTAAGTTCGAAACCTTTCTCTCACCTTAAAGGAATCTTCCACGGAAAAAGCTCCGCCCTCATTACCACAGAAAACGATACCTTAAAGGAATCTTCCACGGAAAGAGTGATCATTTTGTCTTGTGTAGGATTAGTATTATCGAAACTAACGCTTATGTTCCGTTCTTTTTGCTATGCTCATGAGGCTAGGGGCCTAAGGTATCGTTTTTCTGTGGTAATGGAGGCGGAGCTTTTTCCGCGGAAGATTCCTTTAAAAGCTTCTTTATTGCTATTTTGTTGTAATTGCATACCTTGGCCGCAGTTGGCCTTGCGGAAGCGCGCCTGGACGGTGAGCGAGAAGTGCAGATTAGAGTAACTCCCAGGGTGAAAGTTCTGTTCTTAATCAATATTCTTGTGAGACTTCAAACTACTATATATATTACGCTTTCTATCCCGTTTTGCAATATACTACTCGATTCCTCGCAGTGTGTTTTATGGCAATGTCAGCTTTGGACTTCCATACGCCTCGTTCTTCTATGTAATCAAAGAGTGCTTTACAAGTGCAAGAGAGGCAAGTGTATAGTAGAGTCATTAAACGTGAACGATAGATTGGGAGTAGTCGCGTTCACGTATGAGTCGTTGGCAGTTTTCGATAAGTGAGGTCGATTGAGCTGTTATCATAACTTTTTCTATTTTTTATCAGCAAGAGTTCTAGTAACGATCTAAAAGTGCAACTCGGCTGTCTCGAGCCGATCAAGCACCGATTCCTGCACTAGCAAGGGGTGAACAAAAACAATTAATTGGTTCCCTTTACATAGTCTAATTAATTTGCAGCATTTTTCACATATACTTTTTTAAATAAGTATAATTTTCAACGTAATGATGATTTGGCTGTTCAGCCCCTCAGTTACTTCTGGCTTGCGCTCGCTCACCTTCGGCTATAAGCACGCTGAATAGGGTCTAATGCTTTCAGTGAGGTTGAATAATAATAATGTCAAAAGTAACTGCTGTTCTGCTATGAATTTTACCAGGTTGACAAAAAATTGTAAGAGAAAATCTGACGCAACCGAAGCAGAGAATAGTCGATTTAGGAAAACTCGCTGAGCTGCTCAGGTTGGCTAGGTCTGAAAATCATCACTCCAAACATTTAAAAAGAGTTGGAAGTTAAGAAAGACGGCCGCTTAAATTACGGCCTCACCTTGGAGAACTCCTCTAGTCTGACAATGAGGGATCTTTATCCACCTGTGATTCAGTTTAAAATCCAGTCCACTTCCTTCCAATCTCCATGAGTAAGAATCCTGGAAGATAATAAACCTCGCTGCAAAGTCCCCTCTTGGCCATAACACGCCCCGATCAATCAATAATATTGCACTTTTCTTCCTCGTTAACTGAATAACAAATATTCGCTATCCTGGTCGATGGACTGGCCAACCAAACAACAGCTTCTATGGCAGACTCTGTTCACTTCTGTCCACGATTCACACCATCACCATGCAACCTCCCTTCCATAATCGATCTCTATCCACATTTTCCCACCTTTGACCGATTAATAAGGTTTCACGGCAAACTCCGCCCACATCTGCGTACACTCCACCCATCGTGGGCGAGCTTCCGCTAGCGACAAGCGCACAATATATTGTACTCATTTATACTACTTTCTTGCGTCGTAGACACTTAGAATCGAGTTATGAATTTCTTAGTAAACACCTCTTCTTAGCGAATGCCCCGACGCTGCGCGGCAACACCCTTTACTCATTTTCGCGGGCTCTGGACCATGAACCGACCCAGAAACTTCTACTATGGGCGGAGCTTTACTCGGACGATATATGTCTTGGCATGCCCACTCCTTCCATATTTGACCCCCTCTCTCGGGTGACCTTTTAAGTACTAGTACCAATTTTCGTGACAGGCAAACAGACAAACAAACAAACACACAAAAACATAGACGAAGCGCTCATGATAGTAGGGACTTGGAGCACCAGTGGCACCCTTGTAATGAGCATTTACCTTCTAATGTCTGAAATTAGTGAAGAAATAAACCCTAGAAAACCCCGTTATTGGTTTCATGCCCCTGCAGTATCATGAACTTACTTGCAGTCATGAAGAGCATTTAGGTTGTTTTGTCTCATCCCTTTCTGATTGCAATCACCAACGATCAGACGGAACCACTGCTGTATTCAATATTCTGGAGTCGGATGCTAGCTACCGAGCACAATGTGAGTCTGCTGAAAACGAAGAAATTGAAAAATTTCACTGAAGAAAAAAGACAGAGGAAAAGGGTGTTCGCTGCCCTGTCTCTTTCCATGTTGTGCACACAAAAGAGGGGATCTCCTTATGATCCCTTACAACAAATATGCATGTGTCGTTGAGTCTATTTCATCTCGGCACAGTTAGTAAGCTCCACCCGCGAAGCACAGAAACTCCTTTAACGACGAACATTTTGAGAGCCTGTCAGATTTCGTTGAAAACCTCCGAAAAATACAATACGTTCTCCAAGTAAAGAAAGTTTGCCATCCTTGAATGACGAAATGTGACCACAGCCCCTAGTGAAGCCCACCCCAGTGTATCGTTGATTGACTTGTACCCTCAATCTTGCGCAACATTTATAGATGCACTTCAAATGATACTCTACTACCTCACATATTGTTCCATATTTGCCACGAAAAAAAGGCTGTCATCAAAGTCATCTTTACGCTCACGTCACTAAAGTTAAAGTAACACTCTCAGCAGAAGTCGCGAAGAAAGAATTCAGTGGGTGGAATAGAGTAGCCCACCAGTTGTGCAGTTGGGTGGGTGCTGCTCAAAAGTGCGCGGCAGTGGCGACAGGTCTTACAAAATCAGCATTCGACGACTAGTCTTTGGGTACCCCCCAGGAGGCCCGTCGCGCGGCAAGAAGGCAAAGTCAGCGGACGAGTCGCGCGCGTACTATAGGGATTTCGCGTCAAGTTAAATAGAGTGTCCCACTGCACGTCCTACATCGCACACCACGCGCTGCAACTCGTCCGCCGACTCTGCCTTCTTGCCAGCGTGACGGGCC